TTTAGGGTTAGAAAGATTCTCTTAAAAATTCAATAAATTTTAAAAATGGTATATTTGACGAGACAATTAAACATGAAAGATATTTTTACCAGTACATTCAGTTAAACAAGAAATAATTTGTAGGCTTTGCTGAAGTCTCAAATATTTTGATTAAATATTTTGAAAAAAAAAAAAAACAAAAATCTCAATAAGAAAATATAATCGGATATAAGGTAGACACGTTAACGTTATTTAACAACAAATACACACTAAAAAATATATAAAACACAAAATAAAACAAAAAAATAATTAAAGGACAACTTTGCCACTCATTCAAAAGCAAAAAAAAAGACTAAGCCCACTTGCATGTGAATATCCTTTTTGATGTTTGCTTTAAGATTGCTTGAAAATAAACTTGTGTGAACTGCTCAAAATGATTTTCTGTTATCATTTTTGTCTATAAATATTATTATTGTATGATGGTATGTGCATATAGACTTTTATCTATTAGAAATTTATTATAGAAATTTTGTATAGCGTTTTACTTTTGTTTTTTTTATATATGTGCTAGTACACTCTCAGATTAGATTTTTTATGAAAACATGCAATATCTAATTTTTTTTTTGTTAATTCATTTTTCCTATTTTATTTTTATAAGCATGTATTAAAAAATAACGGTAAATATTTTTTAGAATTTCGGTAGATATTTATTTTTTTTTTCGCATTTCTTTAATGTCCTTTTAAGCTTACAAAAACATTTGTTGAACGTGTTAGGCACGTTAAAATGTTCTAACACATAAAAAAACATAAAAAGAAAAAAGAAAACTTTATTTTCCTCACAAGGATAACAAAAATAATGTTTTATATGCACATGTTTGTATGTATGTATGTATGTATGTATATGAGAACATGAAAACAAACAAATAAGTAAACAATAAAACAAAAAGTTTCGAAAAAAAAAGTAAATTTAAAAATTGACAAATATTTTACGAGGATTGAAAAAAGGAAAAAAAAGACAACATCAATACAAACACCCATATTTTTTAATCTACATTATTTTATTATTTAACATGAAATCAAAAAACAAAAAAAAGACACACTTTTTTTTGTTTTCATTTAAAAAAAAAAAATGTTTTGTTCACGCAAAAAAAAATCCTTTTTCTATAAATACATTTAATGTACAAAATGTGACAATTTAAAATGTAACAAGTTTAGTCGAATTTTTTAAGAGAATTGTGAACTAAAAATTCCTTGAAGATTTTGTGCAATAACTTCTAAAAAATCTAAATTTCTTAAAATTTGAATAAGAGCTTTACTCGGAAAATAGGTTTTACAAACTCTCAATTCAACAACACTGGAACAAATATTTTTTAAATTAACTTTTCTTGAATCTATGTGTCCAACTGCGTATAATAAACGAGAATAATTCTATATCAGTAGAAAATATGAGTTCCGCTTCCTTTTTCTCCCAATTACTTATGCTTTCTCCTCTCAATAACTTTTAAGCTATGAAGTGATGAATTTGTAAATTCACTTCATAATTAATTGTGTAACTTTGACTCTATATTTGAAATTTTTGGTGGTATCGGAAAAAATCGAGTATATTATCGTAAATTCTTACGGAATACTTTGTATATAAATAAAGAGGTGAACTTATTTTAATTTTTATTTTTCTTTATTTCTTTTTTGATTTAAAAATTCAAAATGTTTGTTTTTTTAAGCTGATTTTAAAGTTACCTTTTTTTCTTAAAGTATTAATTTGATTTAAGATTATTTGTTTTGAAATTTTTTTTTGTAGGTCGATTTTATGGGTTAATATAGTACAAATGTACATAATGTTGGAATAAGATGAATTCGAAGCATATGCGTTTTTTTCACATAAACGTTTATTTTTTATTTTGAAAAGATTTTAATTTCTTTAAAGTGTTTTTTGAAAATATAAAATTGAATTTGAAATTCTTGTGTTTTTTCGATAACAAAACAAAAGATATTTTAATATTCGGTTTTTTCTTTTATGATAATTTGTGGGACAATTTTGTAAAATACATACATAAGGTTCCGCCATATTTTGCGCTTAAAACCAATTTAATTATGTTGTTATAGTTATGTTTCTTTCTGAATAAGAGGGCTGAATCAGAAAATATATCATGTATTCAAATTATGGGTTAACTCATAATATTTGCTTTTAAGAAATTGTGACAATTGATTATAGAATATTTTTCGAAATATTCGATTTATTTACTCAACCCTTATATTAATTCTGATGTATGTTAATCACAACCTTTTTTGTTTATTTTTAAAATCTAGTCACAAGTTTTAAATAGTTTTCTTTTAGAAAATGTGATTTAATGTGTCATAATTTTGTATATTACTTGAGCTCTATTGATTAAAAAACATCGAATTATTTTAAAGCAGCTTAATTTACAAAAAAAAATTATCTTATTGAATTTTTATATTATATATACTCGTATGTACATGTATTATAACAAATATGATGAATACTTTTAAACTCCACTGAATTTAATATTCAGTATTTTCTATGTATAGTTCCAAAAATTTCCGTTTCAAACGAAAAAAGCGTTAGTTTCCATGTAAAAATCATTACCATATTTTTATGACGTCATTGAATTATCCTTATTTGATATTATGTTGCCCATCAACAAGAAAAAAAAAAATTGAAAATAAAATCCACTTGTTGAAAGTCAAAATAAGTTACACACATTTTTATTCAATTTTCTATCCCATTCAAATTTCACCACACTCATTACGTCATACCCCTTAAATTATCAAACGCCTTTAACATTTTATTTGTAATATTATTTTTGTTCGAAAACAAACAAAAAAAAATTAAAAGAGAAAAAACTAATTTTTTTTTGTTACCCCTGATATTATCGTTAGATATAAATAATAGATTTCGAAAAGAAAAATTTCCCCTCTCGTTAAATTCATAAAAAAATATTATTCTTTTATATTTTCAAACTTACATTATTCATTTTTCTTCAATTACAAAATTAAAACGAAAATACTTTCTTTCGTTTAGTTTTTTGTTTTCGTTTAAATTTTATTCGTATATGTTCGTGTTTATGATTTTTCTGTTTATTTTCCCTTTATACTTCATTGATATATCAAATAAAAATTGTATCGTTCATTTGAATAATATTATTCAATATTGAATCAATTTAAATTCATTCAATTTCAAAATTGAAAGATAAAATATTTTAATAAATATAATTTTATTATTAAAAATGGTTTTTGGTTAAATTTTAATATTTTGAGTAAGAAGATTTATAAAATTATTTTATTTGCTAAAATTGCTATTATTTGCTCTTTTAATTCAAAAATGCAAAAAGTATTTAATTAGAAACGTTAATTAATAAAACATTTATTAAAAAGTTGAAATGAAATTGAATGTTATTGAAATAGAAAAACGTAATAAAGGTACACAATAAGAAATAATGATAAAAAAGAACTACACAGCAAAAAAAAAAGAAAAAAATGAGAAAAATTTTAAATACAAATCCGAAAATAAACGAATATTTGAAATGAGAAGTAGACGAGAAAAAAAAAATATTATACCGTTTTATGCTATGATATGAAAGGTTCTATAAGATAACTGTATAAAATGATATAGAAAATCTTTTTTCTTTTATAATATTCTTTCAGTATTTTTTTTGTTTTGTGTTTTTTTTTCATTGAATAATAATTTTGATTATTGTTGAATCAACGAGTGGTTTTATTTCACTTCAATTTTTTCAGTCTATTCGACATCTTCAATCGTTGCGGTTGTACCGACGGTTTTGTATTTGTTTACATTTTTTTGTATTTTTCATTTTTCAAATGAATAATAAAAATACAAAAAGGAACAGAGGAAAAATACTTGAAATAATTTGAAAAGGAAGTTGCAAAAAAACAAAAAAACGAAAAAATAAAAAACCAAAAGAAAATATTATTATATGTGAATTATTTTTTTTTTTTCAATATAATAATCATCGTGTTATTATAAAATATATGCTAAAAAAAGGAAAAACAAAAAATATTAAAAAGGATAATAATAATATTTGAATGGTATTTATTATGAAAAAAAAAATTATTTATGATTAATGAATATAATAATTGGTGTTTTCAAAAGTTTAAATAAAATTGTAAATTTTATTGAAAAATTGACGAAGGAAAAAAAAAAATAAATTTATTAATATTTTTAATATTAATACACTTAATACTGATTTATCACTATAAATGTATACATATATGAATTTAATTATTTCATAATAATTACAATTGTATTCAAAAAAGAAAAAGGACAATATTAAATTATATATGTATGTAATTTATGAATATGCAAAAATCATATAAAATATTATTAAATTTTTTGATTGAAAATTAATAAAATTATTTTGTTTTTTTTTTTTAACATTTCAATATTAAAAATTTATACATAAATATTTGAATGTATAAAACCTGAATTACTTAACATTAATTTATTATAATTAAATATTAAATAAATTTAAGCATATAAATTTTAATCATAATATTAATAAATCTTAATTGAATTAATATAGAATACATTCAGGAATTATTATTTTATTTATGCTCTTTAGTTGACAAGAAAATTTCCTAATTCATATAAACCATTTAAATTGATTCAAATTAAAAATGATAATTAAAATGATTGATTAAACTTATAAATTAATTAAACTACTGATAACTTAAAAGAAAAAAATTTTAAATTTATTGAAATATATTCATAATATTTGTCTTTGCAAAAGTTGATTACAATATTAAATAGAAAATACTGAAAATAACAAAGTTCTATGCATAATTTTTAATATTTAGTGTTCAACAAAGATTTTTACATTATTGACAAAATTATATTATTATATAAATTAAATATAATACAAAGATATAACATTAAAGAACGCAAATATAAATATAATTTTAAAAAATTTGAATTATAATAGAAAAAAATTTTTTGTATAAACCTTAATGAAAATACATAAATATTATTGTTCTAAAGTATAAAGGTGAAAAATATATAGAAAAAAATAAATGTAATTTAATACAAAAACTTAAAGGTGTGTATATAAAATGAATTAAAGTTTTTTTTTTTACATTTTAATGCGATTTTTGTATTTTACGATATTTTACGATATTATAAAATATTTTACGCTATTTTTCTGTACTATATTAGAATTACAGAGCTAGATGTAGTTTATAAAATTACAATTTAAAATTAACATTATTTTTGAAGTTCAATTTGACTTTACGTATGAAATAATAGCCAGGAATTTTTGATAATATTATAAAAATTTCTTTTTCTCTCTTTTATTTATTCTCATGCATACATACATGTATACACATATTTATTGTAATAATATGCAATAAAGATAAATAATTAATTTTTAATAAATATTTTCTTAAATAAAATATTCTTTAATAATTTTTTGTCTTTTTATAGTTATTCCTTTTATGAATTGAAAAAATATTAATTTTTCCTTATTTTCTGTTTTTTCCAATTCAATATAATAAAGTAAAAATAATTTTTTTTTATAGAAAATATAGGAGATAAATGAAATTTTTTTTTAATAATTTAAAAAAAAATACAATACTTATATATAACACATACATACATGCATATATTAATAGAAAAAGTAAAATAAACTTTCATTTTTCAGTTAAACAAACTTAAGTGATTTTTACGTCCTTATTTTGTTTTTTTTTCTATTCCATTTCGTTTTCTGATTAAAAAAAAAAAAAAAAAAACAAAAAAGATACACAAGAAAAAACTGAAACAAAATAAATAAATGGAATAAGAAAATTTATATTAAAAATTGGGTCAAAATAATAAAATATAAAAAGAAAACAAAAAATCAAAAAAACAAAAACAGGGAAAAAAATAGGTAAGAAGTGAAGAAAATTTTAACTATCATTTGTGGTTTAAAGTATTATTGTGGTATTATTCTATATATAAAATAGATTTTAATTCACATATATACAAACATTTATTATATAAACATACTTACATACTTATATGGGTATTATGTATTGTTCTACATTATATATATGAAAAAATTTTTAATATTTGAAGAAAATTTTTTAAATAACTTATGTGTATGTATGAAAAAACAAAAATAGAAAGAGAAAAAAAATAAAAGAGAGAAAAAGAGAGAAAAAATTTAAAATTCAGATATAAATTTTATAACATTTATTTTTATAAAGTAGACGAAAAAATATGAGAATTTTTAAAGTTTAAAAAAAAAAAAAATTTTTTTTTTCTGCTTTCTTCAAAATTATTAAAAATAAATTCTTAACTTTTTAATTTTATAAGTATATGGGAAAAAAATTCTATATAAATTTATAAAATATACTTAAATAAGTATTAAATATATACATATATATATATATATATATATATATGTATAAAGAATAAAATATTAAAGATACTTAATTTCAAAAAAAAAATTATTTTTTTTTAAATTAGAAAAGTAAAAGAAATTTTTCTGTATTCTTATTTCTTTTTAGATAAACTTTATGGTGAATATTAAGTTAAATGAAAATTTTGTGGTTGTTTTGATATTCTTAAGGTGATATAATATATTTTAAATAAATTAAAAATAATTACTTATACATATATATAATATATGAATAAAAATGAATGTATATAAGTAGATAAAATTGAAATTGAAAAATGAAATTATTAAAGTTTAGTGATTTTTCTTGAAAAAAAAAAAAATTCGAAAATCAAAGAATAAAAAGTACCAATATAAGTATATAAAGTAAGATAATTAAAATTTTTTATTACAATTTAAAAGAAGGTAATAATAAAAACATATACAAATATACTAATTTAAAATACGATCTAAAATAAAAAAGGATTTTGAGAATTTTGAAGTTATTTTGTGAAAAGAAAAATATTCAAAAAGAAATTTTGTGTTAAATTTTTCATCAATTTAAGAATTTAAGGTAAAATTTATTTTATTTTCTAAATTATTAAAAATTTTTATTATATTCATAAAGAGTTTTATATTTTTAATATATTGTATAATAAATTTGAGGAAGACAATTTGCTTTAAAATGAGATTTGTTTCATTATATACCATGAATGTTGTTGAAAATTTTATTCTATATTTAAAATAGCTCTTTCGCTACTTAATTTTAAAAAAAACAAAAAATTGGACCGAAATGTTTTCGTAACAAGCTCATTATATTTCAGCTTTCAGATAATTTTTTTTATATAACTCACTTATTTTTTAACATAACCTTAATTATGTTTTTTTAATTAAATTAAGAATTTCGTTAGAATTTCAGATTTTTATTTAATCAACTTTGGGGTAAAATATTCTGCTTAAGGTTTTTTAATTATAAAATTGAAATCATTCTTTTATAATTCATATGAAATTTGTTTCTTATTTCAAATTTTAAAAAAATTCTTCGATTGATTATTGAATTGCATTATGTATGTACATTATGTATATGAAATTTCTTGGAATATTTCACAAACATTTATTTTAATTATGGAATAGGATTTTTGATGATTTTGAAAAGAAACATAAATTTATGTTTCATTATTTTAAAATATCTAGCTATAGCTATACCAACATTTTAATAAGGAACAAAATTATGTTATAGAATATGAAAAAGTTGCATGATTCTGGACTGATGAAAACAATAAATACTAAAATACAATAGTTTTTTAATAATATGATGGTTTTTTCATTGAAATTAATTGAGTTTTTATGACTTTGAATATATTTTCAGTAATTTTATTTCTTATACGATATCTCAGTATATTAAATTGAAAAGGTTTCCAATATAAGATGTTGACGTTGCAGAGTTTTTCATATGAAAATAAGCATAGTTATATGTTCAAATTTACCGAAAATCGCAAATTAATTTAATTATAATTATGGTATTTTATTGTTTTTGCAAGAAGTTTCACTTTAAATTGTCCGGCAATTGTTTGGTATAGCAAATTTCAAAGTTAACGATTTAGGATTAAACAATAGTGTAACGAGAAAATGCTATTTTATAATCAGAAAAGATAGCATTATTTGTCTAGAATTTTGAAAGATGTGTTTCAAGTTCTTTATTTCGAATCTAATGTCGAATTTTGATAAAATTTTAGGCATTAAGTGTGCTAGGTATTTATGTGTCTATGGTATTTTAAAAATTCAATAATAGTGTTAGTTTTTGTCTTTGAAGAGAATTAAAATTTACGAATTTGAATGAAATGAATTCATGATTTAACTCTCGATGAAATTGTCTAAAAATAAGAAGTTTAATTACTTAATTTTAATGATATAATGTCTTTTATGTCAGTATTACAAAACGATTTTAAAACAATTGTATTTAGTTTAATTGAGTTGTGAATTTTACCTTTAAATATTTAAATATATTCTATGACATAACGAGATTCATAGAAACTTATGAACGAATTTCCTGAACAAATTAAAGAAATATGGTGTTCAAAGAATGGATTTCCAATTTAGTACTCAAATCAAATAGGTTTTATTTAATTTTATAAAATTTATTTGAACATCAAATAATGTAAATGCTCAATGTTATGTCAGATTTTATAACATTTATACCACTTCACTGGAAGAAATTTATAAATTTTCTTCTGTCTAATTTTTATTTATTTTCTTTTTTTAGAAATTCTGTAGAATGCTTTTATAATATTCATAAAACCTATATTTAAAAGTGTCAACGTTTAAGAACACTTAAGAACAATCGATCGTTCTTCGTTTTCCTTTTTTTAATAAAAAATAAAAAAATAATTTCTCTGAATTTCAAACAAAATATAAAAACTTTGCTATAAAAATATAGAAATTAAAACATTAAAAATTATTTTTAGAATTCTAAAAATTTCTCATATTTAACTTTCCCAAGTTCGAACAAAATTCTTATGTTATAACGTATTATACTCGCGTAAATGAAATAATATAATAATGGTAGAATATGTACGTGAAAAAATCACATTAACATTAAAATTATTCACTTTTTTTTTTCTTCACTTGTTGTTATGTCATGAATGTATTACCATACCATCTATAAATACACCTGTGATTTAAGAGGAAATTGTGTTTTTGTTCTTTTAATTTTCCTTCAAACTTCATAGTATAGAGGAAAAAAGAAGAGAAAATTTTATAAAAGGAAAATTTAAATGAAGTTGATTTTATTTTAATTTTTTTTTCTCCGTTATTAAACTACATACGTCTAAAATTTTATAATTGTATCTATATATATATATTATAAGTAATATAGTCTAAGAAAATTAGGTCAATAAGTTATATTAATTGTTGTAATTATGATAAAAGAAAATAATTTTTTTATATAACGCGATTATGATTAAAAGTTAAATTGGTTTTTATTTTCTGTTCCCTAAAATAATAATAATTAGAGCTGTCTAAAGGAAAATTGATTTCAAAGAGATAACATGGAAAGGGTATAATATTTTTAAAATATAGAATTTTCATTTAATATAAAGCTTATGAGAGAATATGATTAGAATCAAGATAATTGTGGTAAAATAATAAATAGAAATTATAAAATGGTGGTTCTTATTGTTCGTGTCAGGGATGAATTTAATGAATTAAATGTGGTGTTTATGAATATTATTTTTATTTTTAAGAAAAATTGATGGCTTATGCTTCTTTTTTCAACAATAAAAGAATTTCCTTAACTGTTATCCAATTGTAGTTGCCTCGTGTACACATACGTAATCCTCAAAAAAAAAAACTTTAAATTGTAAAAATAATATTATTAATACATTTAAGATTTAACACCACATTTAGGGCCTGATCGCCTATCTGTTTTTTTTTTCTAAAATGTATGCAAAATTTATTCACTTTGCTTTTGAAAGGGGGGCGTTCAGTCATTAATTTGAGAAGAAATGCGAAAATCTAATTGAAAAAATGAGTAATCTTTTTAGAAACATGAAATATCCATTAGAAAATACTGTGAATTCTGATTAGAAATTGATTTTTGAATTCATTATGGTTGTATAATTGAATATTTTTGTAACAATTTCGAGTGCTTTTAATCCATAAGTATTCATATAAGATCCGAAGCATATTCTAACACCCCTGATAACAAAATATTACGTTCCTTTTAGAAAATTAAAATTTCTATTTAATAGCAATGAAAAGATAAAATACATATTCATTAATTAATTTAGTTAATAAATAATTAATTAACAATTAGCACTATTATGACTATTTAAAATTAATGAAAATTGATTGTAAGTATTTTTCAATTAAATATTATGTTTATTTAAAATAGATGAATATGTAAAACAAGTTACAAATTAAGTAAAACAAAAAAATGTTATGTAAGTAAGAATGTAGGACGAACAATATAAACGTTTGTATAGAGTAGTTCATTTCTTATAATGCCCCATATGATTTATCAATATATCATTCTGTTTTGTACAAATCTGTAAACCACAAGATATAATTATGTAAGAATATTTAAAAAATCCAAATTCTTGAGTTTTAAAGAAACTCCATTCAATCATATTTAAATGCAATTTGGCTGTATTGCGACATTTAATTAATTTTTTCTTTCATTTGGACAACTTGGTTTTGACTAGAATATAAAAATTGAGTAAGTTTACTTACAATTTATTAAAAACATTGTAACTCATTAGCGTTGTGGTATCATATTTTGAATGATGGTGACATTTTAAATAAATTTTCCGATATTTATTTAAATTGTAAATCGTCATCCGTATTATGGAATAAAACATGGAAAAAATTAAAATGAAATAAAATTGGCGGAAAATAATTTGAACCTCTTAGTTTTAGTCATTAACTAAATAGCAGTTAATTAATTTAAAGTTGGAATAATTTCAAGTTAATTACGTTTATTATACGATATAATTAGTTTCTTCTGAAAATACAGCATTCGTGCGAATTTCTAACTTAAAGAACTCTAAAAAAACTTTTTGATTAACAACTGCAAACATTTGTGGTTTGCGTTGCAGTAGTAAAATGTTTTTGCAAATTTTCATCTATATGTTACTTTCGAAAAACAAGTACTAAAATTAATCAGTATTCTCTTTGTCTTACAAACGAAACTTAAAGAAATGGGTTTTCGAAAAATTTTAAAAAATTTTATTAAATAGATCGTCATTCTCCATTTTGTTTGATATTTTATGCTATCGCTGTTAGGTGTACTAAAAATGGGATGTTGCGTAAAATTTTTGAAATATATTACTAGCAGTTGTATTTTCGAAAAGCTGCTATTGCAGTTCCTCATTTTTGAAAGCACTGCTTTACAGTTTAAGCAATTCTTATTACATTGCAGTAATAAGAAACTAAAACTGCTTTTTTAGATGAAACTATAATTTAAAAATAATTTAATAATTTAAAAAATAAAGTAGTTTTTTTTCAAAGTGATAGTATAATTTATCGAAAATAACCAAATTGAATTCTCAAGGAATTTAAAAACATTACATTTTACAAAAAAAAAATTTCGTAGCTCTTAGTACGAATAATTTAAATACATTGAAAAATTCTGATTTTATGCAGACAATTTCATATTTATAAGTACATATTATTATATATGTATGTGTGTATTTAAAATATCATTTTTAATTTTTATAAATACTTAAATAAAATACAAAATTTTCATTTTATTAATGCTATACTTTGATTTTATAAAAATCTATACAACTGTACGCGTATTTTTAATTTTCAATTAACTGAAATACAAAATGTATAAAATAGATTCGGCTATAATATCGTTTCAATATTTGAATCGAAATTGATTAATATAGTTTTCATATACATTAATACAGAAGAAAGGAATATAATAGATATACATATGCACAACATCTATAAAAATATAAATGTAAGTATACTTCCTAACATGAATACTAATGTTGTACCCTTTTTTGTAATCATTCCACTAAACATTATAATATTAAATGTTAGGGTTTTTATACAATAATAGTGTACTGT